CTGGTGGCTCTAGAAAAAAGCATTAAGGACTCACGAGACTTCATGACTGCAGAATTTAGATTCAATCAGGCAGAAATTAAAAATCAATTGAATGAGATGCAATCCAAACTAGAAGTCCTAACGACGAGGGTTAACGAGGTGGAAGAACGAGTGAATGACATAGAAGACAAGTTAATGGCAAAGAGGGAAACTGAGGAAAAAAGAGACAGACAATTAAAAGACCATGAAGACAGATTAAGGGAAATAAATGACAGCCTAAGGAAGAAAAACCTACGTTTAATTGGGGTTCCCGAGGGCGCCGAAAGGGACAGAGGGCCAGAATATGTATTTGAACAAATCCTAGCTGAAAACTTTCCCAATCTGGGAAGGGAAACAGGCATTCAGATCCAGGAAATAGAGAGATCCCCCCCTAAAATCAATAAAAACCGTTCAACACCTCGACATTTGATAGTTAAGCTTGCAAATTCCAAAGATAAAGAGAAGATCCTTAAAGCAGCAAGAGACAAGAAGTCCCTGACTTTCATGGGGAGGAATATTAGGGTAACAGCAGACCTCTCCACAGAGACCTGGCAGGCCAGAAAGGGCTGGCAGGATATATTCAGGGTCCTAAATGAGAAGAACATGCAACCAAGAATACTTTATCCAACAAGGCTCTCATTCAAAATGGAAGGAGAGATAAAGAGCTTCCAAGACAGGCAGGAACTGAAAGAATATGTGACCTCCAAACCAGCTCTGCAAGAAATTTTAAGGGGGACTCTTAAAATTCCCCTTTAAGAAGAAGTCAAGTGGAACAATCCACAAAAACAAGGACTAAATAGATATCATGATGACACTAAACTCATATCTGTCAATAGTAACTCTGAACGTGAACGGGCTTAATGACCCCATCAAAAGGCGCAGGGTTTCAGACTGGATAAAAAAGCAGGACCCATCTATTAGCTGTCTACAAGAGACTCATTTTAGACAGAAGGACACCTACAACCTGAAAATAAAAGGTTGGAGAACCATTTACCATTCAAATGGTTCTCAAAAGAAAGCAGGGGTAGCCATCCTTATATCAGATAAACTAAAATTTACCCCGAAGACTGTAGTGAGAGACGAAGAGGGACACTATATCATACTTAAAGGATCTATCCAGCAAGAGGAGTTAACAATCCTCAATATATATGCCCCGAATGTGGGAGCTGCCAAATTCTTAAACCAATTATTAACCAAAGTGAAGAAATACTTAGATAATAATACACTTATACCTGGTGACTTCAATCTAGCTCTTTCTACCCTCGATAGGTCTTCTAAGCACAACATCTCCAAAGAAACGAGAGCTTTAAATGATACACTGGACCAGATAGATTTCACAGATATCTACAGAACTTTACATCCAAACTCAACTGAATACACATTCTTCTCAAGTGCACATGGAACTTTCTCCAGAATAGACCACATACTGGGTCACAAATCGGGTCTGAACCGGTATCAAAAGATTGGGATCGTCCCCTGCATATTCTCAGACAATAACGCCTTGAAATTAGAACTCAATCACAAGAAGAAGTTTGGAAGGACATCAAACACGTGGAGGTTAAGGACCATCCTGCTAAAAGATAAAAGGGTCAACCAGGAAATTAAGGAAGAATTAAAAAGATTCATGGAAACTAATGAGAATGAAGATACAACCGTTCAAAATCTTTGGGATGCAGCAAAAGCAGTCCTGAGGGGGAAATACATCGCAATACAAGCATCCATTCAAAAACTGGAAAGAACTCAAATACAAAAGCTAACCTTACACATAAAGGAGCTAGAGAAACAACAGCAGATAGATCCTATACCCAGCAGAAGAAGAGAGTTAATTAAAATTCGAGCAGAACTCAAGGAAATTGAGACCAGAAGAACTGTGGAACAGATCAATAGAACCAGGAGTTGGTTCTTTGAAAGAATTAATAAGATAGATAAACCATTAGCCAACCTTATTAAAAAGAAGAGAGAGAAGACTCAAATTAATAAAATCATGAATGAGAAAGGAGAGATCACTACCAACACCAAGGAAATACAAACGATTTTAAAAACATATTATGAACAGCTCTACGCCAATAAATTAGGCAATCTAGAAGAAATGGACGCATTCCTGGAAAGCCACAAACTACCAAAACTGGAACAGGAAGAAATAGAAAACCTGAACAGGCCAATAACCAGGGAGGAAATTGAAGAAGTCATCAAAAACCTCCCAAGACACAAGAGTCCAGGGCCAGATGGCTTCCCAGGGGAATTCTATCAAACGTTTAAAGAAGAAATCATACCTATTCTACTAAAGCTGTTTGGAAAGATAGAAAGAGATGGAGTACTTCCAAATTCGTTCTATGAGGCCAGCATCACCTTAATTCCAAAACCAGACAAAGACCCCGCCAAAAAGGAGAATTACAGACCAATATCCCTGATGAACATGGATGCAAAAATTCTCAACAAGATACTAGCCAATAGGATCCAACAATACATTAAGAAAATTATTCACCATGACCAAGTAGGATTTATCCCCGGGACACAAGGCTGGTTCAACACTCATAAAACAATCAATGTGATTCATCATATCAGCAAGAGAAAAAACAAGAACCATATGATCCTCTCATTAGATGCAGAGAAAGCATTTGACAAAATACAGCATCCATACCTGATCAAAACTCTTCAGAGTGTAGGGATAGAGGGAACTTTCCTCAGCATCTTAAAAGCCATCTACGAAAAGCCCACAGCAAATATCATTCTCAATGGGGAAGCACTGGGAGCCTTTCCCCTAAGATCAGGAACAAGACAGGGATGTCCACTTTCACCACTGCTATTCAACATAGTACTGGAAGTCCTAGCCTCAGCAATCAGACAACAAAAAGACATTAAAGGCATTCAAATTGGCAAAGAAGAAGTCAAACTCTCCCTCTTCGCTGATGACATGATACTCTACATAGAAAACCCAAAAGCCTCCACCCCAAGATTGCTAGAACTCATACAGCAATTTGGTAGCGTGGCAGGATACAAAATCAATGCCCAGAAATCAATGGCATTTCTATACACTAACAATGACACTGAAGAAAGAGAAATTAAGGAGTCAATCCCATTTACAATTGCACCCAAAAGCATAAGATACCTAGGAATAAACCTAACCAAAGAGGTAAAGGATCTATACCCTAAAAACTATAGAACACTTCTGAAAGAAATTGAGGAAGACACAAAGAGATGGAAAAATATTCCATGCTCATGGATTGGCAGAATTAATATTGTGAAAATGTCAATGTTACCCAGGGCAATTTACACGTTTAATGCAATCCCTATCAAAATACCATGGACTTTCTTCAGAGAGTTAGAACAAATTATTTTAAGATTTGTGTGGAATCAGAAAAGACCCCGAATAGCCAGGGAATTTTAAAAAAGAAAACCATAGCTGGGGGCATCACAATGCCAGATTTCAGGTTGTACTAAAAAGCTGTGGTCATCAAGACAGTGTGGTACCGGCACAAAAACAGACACATACTCTCTCACACACTCTCTTACACCATACACAAAGATAAACTCAAAATGGATGAAAGATCTAAATGTGAGACAAGATTCCATCAAAATCCTAGAGGAGAACACAGGCAACACCCTTTTTGAACTTGGCCACAGTAACTTCTTGCAAGAAACATCCACGAAAGCAAAAGAAACAAAAGCAAAAATGAACTATTGGGACTTCATCAAGATAAGAAGCTTTTGCACAGCAAAGCATACAGTCAACAAAACTAAAAGACAACCTACAGAATGGGAGAAGATATTTGCAAATAACATATCCGATAAAGGGCTAGTTTCCAAGATCTATAAAGAACTTATTAAACTCAACAGCAAAGAATCAAACAATCCAATCATGAAATGGGCAAAGGACATGAAGAGAAATCTCACAGAGGAAGACATAGACATGGCCAACAAGCACATGAGAAAATGTTCTGCATCACTTGCCATCAGGGAAATACAAATCAAAACCACAATGAGATACCACCTCACACCAGTGAGAATGGGGAAAATTAACAAGGCAGGAAACCACAAATGTTGGAGAGGATGTGGAGAAAAGGGAACCCTCTTACACTGTTGGTGGGAATGTGAACTGGTGCAGCCAATCTGGAAAACTGTCTGGAGGTTCCTCAAAGAGTTAAAAATAGACTTGCCCTATGACCCAGCAATTGCACTGTTGGAGATTTACCCCAAAGATATAGATGCAATGAAACGCCGGGACACCTGCACCCCGATGTTTCTAGCAGCCATGTCCACAATAGCCAAACTGTGGAAGGAGCCTCGGTGTCCATCGAAAGATGAATGGATAAAGAAGATGTGGTTTATGTATACAATGGAATATTACTCAGCCATTAGAAACGACAAATACCCACCATTTGCTTCAACGTGGATGGAACTGGAGGGTATTATGCTGAGTGAAGTAAGTCAATCGGAGAAGGACAAACAGTGTATGTTCTCATTCATTTGGGGAATATGAATAATAGTGAAAGGGAATATAAGGGAAGGGAGAAGAAATGTGTGGGAAATATCAGAAAGGGACACAGAACATAAAGACTCCCAACTCTGGGAAACGAACTAGGGGTGGTGGAGGGGGAGGAGGGCGGGGGGTGGGGGTGAATGGGTGACGGGCACTGAGGGGGACACTTGACGGGATGAGCACTGGGTGTTATTCTGTATGTGGGTAAATTGAATACCAATAAAAATTAATTTATTAAAAAAAAAAAAAGAGTTGGATGCTCAACCAACTGAGCCCCTCAGGTGCCCCAGGAAAGCTATCTTCTATATAAAAGCCAGTATGATCTTTTAAAAATAAAAATTGTATTTTACCACCAAAAAAAAAAAAAGAACCAAACAAATGTTAATACATACTAGAATTTTCTGAGGATAACACTCATGTATATTTCCTAAGTACATATTTTAAAATAATAATCTAATAATCATAAAGATTTTCATGCAAGAGGAATTTTGAAAATACTTACTTCCAGTAGATTTATATTCTTTCTTTCAATTACAGATCGCAAGAGATCGTGGCTCAGATGTATGACATTCTCAACATATGGTAAGCATTCTGACTGATAATTAAGACTTAAAACATTGAAAATACCAATGCGTTTCTCAATAGTCATACTAACAATATGTTGAAGATAGTTTCTGAATTTAGCCAGGATAGTTTTAAACTGTGTTGAAGTTAATTCTTCTGTCGATGACAGTTTCATACTCATGGCTTTGGCCTTCTGTACCATGGAACAATATTTTATAAACTTAGAGATATAAACATTAACTAGGCCCATGGAATTACCAACAACAGTCAGGAGATTGGCAATCTGTAAAAAAAAAGTGTTTATGTTAGTCAGACTTGTAAGAGAAACAAGTGTGGGCTGACAGGGTGACAGTTCTGTCAGAACATATACAACAACAGTTCTCCGTGAAGCACCCACACTATAGAACTATGTTGGAAACATAAGACTTTAAGAAATTTAGATGGTTTTTAAAATATTTAATTTTTCTGAAAAGCCTTACTAGGCCATTTACCTTTCTGGTTAGTATGTCGTTTTAAGCCATGTACTACCAGAAACACCAGTCATGTATTCCTGTACTTGTCGTCCTGCTTTAGGACATGCTCCGTGCACAGCCTGGCACAAGGGCAGTTCTGTGTACTGTGTGACCTTGCCCAATTCCCAAGACACAGCTACCTGATGAGGCAGCTGACTGACCTGATGATGAGCTACCTGACTCTGAGCCAGGCAGAGACACTGAGATTCTCTTATGGGTCTGAACAACACCACCCAGATGAAGCATAATGGGTAAGTTGCAGCTAGGGCAGGTCAACAGATTGGCAGATCAGTATTGCGAGGGAGCCATAAAAGAGAAAGCTCTTTTTTGTAGCAGAAGTTGGAAAAAAACAAAAGAGGTGAGTGGAGCTGAAAGCCCATGAGCAGGACAAATAGGGAGATTCACTGGAAATGACACTTCATTGCAGCATGTTAGGATACTTGAATTTTTCAATAAATTCCTTTAACCTAAGAATTTCAGTGGGTTTCTGCTCCTAGAGCCAAATAGTCCCTAAGAGAAATGGTTTTCAAACTTACTTGATTTTGGTAGGTAGGATCCATTTCAAAAAGTATCTGACAATCTGGCCATCTGGCTAGCTTCTTATAGGCAATTCCACTTTCAGCCTTATTAGGTAAATCCGTAACTAAAACTGATTCAGTAAAGAGAGACAGGCGAGGATCTTGGCAAAGGGGAATAATCTTGGCTAAAATACATAATTCAAAAGTTAGTATTTTCAGAAGTCCCACTGAAAGCAACACATGAAAGTTACCCATGACATCTAAAACTACTGGACATGGAGGCTAATTTATTATGAGGGCTACAAGTGCTCTATGCTGATAAATGGAATTGAAGACAGGTGTAAATGTTTGGATTTAATTTTATGCAAACAACAGAATCACTCACAGGACCTGGGTGGTGATGGCCCAAGGCATAGTTAAAATAGAAACTGAGAGAAAATGATTAAGTTGAGAAATAGTTGCAGTGTCTATGCTACGTGGTGTCACGTGGAGAGTATTAAACCAGCACAGAGAGGAGACAGAGGAGACACAGCCTCTAACACCAGTGTGTTTACGGTCTAACTCAAAAACTGATGTCCGCAGGCAAAAACAAACAAGCAAAACAAAACTTCCACCTACACTTCATACATTATGTCAAAATTAACTCAAGATGAATCATATACCTAAATATAAAGCACGAATTTATAAATATTCCAAGAGAAAATACAGGAAGAACCTGTGTGAGTCAAAGAGTTTATAGGTACCTAAGCATAATCCACAACAGAAAAAAAATTAATAAGCCATACTTTATCAGAGTTAAGAAGGTTAGGTCCATGAGAAAGAATGAATAGATAAGGCACAGACTGGGAGAAAATGTTTGCAAATCTTATATCTGATAAAAGACTTGTATCCAGGGTACATCTCACAACTTGAAAATATGGAAACAAACATCTCAATAAAAAGAAATAAGCAAAAGATTTGAATATCTGACCACAAAAAATGCACATAAGCATATACATATAAGCATATGAAAAGATGAACAATGTTAGTCATTAGTGAAATGCAAAATAGAACCACAATGAGGTATCACTATACACCTACTACAATGGCTAAATTTGTAAATCTGACGATACCAAGTGGTGACAAGGATGAAGAGTGACTAGAACTTTACACATTGTTGGTAGGAAAGCAAATGAGGAATCCCTGGGTGGCGCAGCGGTTTGGCGCCTGCCTTTGGCTCAGGGCACGATCCTGGAGACCCAGGATCGAATCCCATATCGGGCTCCCGGTGCATGGAGCCTGCTTCTCCCTCTGCCTATGTCTCTGCCTCTCTCTCTCTCTCTCTCTCTCTCTCTCTCTCTCTGTGACTATCATAAATAAATAAATTTTAAAAAAATTAAAAAAAAAGGAAAGCAAATGACACAACCACTCTGCAATTCTCATAAAATTAAACATATACCTACCATATGACCCAGCAATCCTACCCCTGATTATCAACCCAAGAAAAAAGAAAACTTATGTTCATCCAAAAACCTGTATGTGAATGTTTATAGCAATTTTATTCGTAACTGCCTCAAACTGGAAAAACCCGATGTGAGTGAATAAACAAACCGTGGTGCATCTTGACAACAGAACACAACTCTGCAATAAAAAGGAACCAGGCTATTGCTTCATGCAAAAGTATTAATGAATCTGAAAAAAAGCCAGACCCAAAAGCCTACCTATCCACTTAAATGACATTCTGGAAAGAATGCCAAATAAATGTTAGAGCAATCAAATATTTAAACATAAAAATGAAGTCATAATAGAATTAGACATAGGAGAATGTTTTTTATGATGTTCACTAGGCAAGCCTGTCTAACTTAGACACCATATCCTGGAGCCTTTTCTAAAAGGCTCTACACATGTTATACTATAAAGATTATGTTCTTTGCAGCAGAAATATCACCATAAAATCAAGCCAAACAACCTATTTTTCTTAAAACTCATATTACAGATTAAGAAAGAACCACACATCAGTGAAAGACTTGAGACCCATCAGTTTCACTCCTATGCAGTTATTCTGTGAGAAGATCCCATGGGAACCACAAGTTGTGTGGTAGACATTAATGGCATGACAATGTGTAGAAATGAGCATGTTTAACTTTGCACTCATGGTTAAACATATTATTGCACATTAATGTAATGGAATATTATGCAGCCATCTAAATGATGATTTTAAGAGCATATTCAACAATGTGGAAAATGTCTATAATAGTGATAAAATATTTTAAACATAAATTTCACTAATGTATGCTTATGAAACTAAAAATGCAAATAGCTGTTGTATAAGGGTGACTGAAATGATGAGGTGATCAAGATGTTTTAGTTTTTCTCAGGTAAATATACACACAGACACAATACACGTATATATACATATATGAATATATACATAGATCACTGAATCCATATTTATGTAAATAAATAACTGAACAAAGAAATGGATCCACTAATTAATTAGTGGCTAGATCCACAAATTAAAGCTAAAATTAGTGGGCAAAATTTTTAGAAGAAACAAAGATATCTGACCATCTAAAAATATCCCTCCCCAAATTTATTAGTAACAAGAGGAAATTAAAACATTTAAAAAGTTGACAAGGGTCCTGCTGTGTTAAGATCTTTATAAGACTTAGATTATGGAGAAAGGAGCAATTCATTGGTCAGGCTAGTAACCGCCATGTAATTTCAGACTGTATACACATAGCTAGAAAAGAATAAAAATCTGTTTAAGATGGAAACAATATATTTGCTATGCTATCATATATGGCTTATTAAAGTCTCACAAAATTCTGTAGTATATCATTGAAAAAATCCAAACCTTAGGCTGTTTTCCTAATTCCCATCTTCTATGCACTCTGTGGTTATATGTATAAATCCCATATCCTCAAATAATCCCAAGTTCACACCAATTGATCCCAAAGACTGGGAATGTCTCATCTCCTAATATACCATAATGGGTGGCCACATTTCTGGGTATAAGCATCAAATGCCTAAATCTAAAAAAGTACTGTCAAAGATGACAATGTATCTAGCTAAATTTTTAAAATACTTACTTATACATTTTTCAATGTCAGCCACCATATTTTGAATTTTTATTGAAAACTCTAATCTGTTGGGAGCTAAGAAGAGATTTGCAGCAAATTCTGAAAATCTGAGAAAATAAAAGCTTATTTCAGAAAAATACAGTAACTAATATAAATTACAATTACTTGTAATTTAAAAAATGTCTACTACTTACTCATCATACATGTATTTATTCTCAAACTCAGCCATGATTTCTGTATCTGTAAGAATCCATTGAAAAAAAAGAGAATAAAACATTGATACTTAAACCAGCTCAATGACCAATTGATACGTGTCAGTGCTTCCCAAAGACTAAAGAATAAACTTGAAAGGTCATCTGAAAGATAGTGTTTGAGCAGGACACCTCATCCTCAGATCCTAATGGAATCTGAGAGTCTGAACTATTAACAAGCATCCCAGGTGGTGTTCATCCTCATGAGGTCCTCAGGACCCCACTAGTGAGAAATGGTGTGAGTACTGAGACTACTACACACACCACAAATGATCTAAGTTTATGTGCACTTTGTGCATTCTAAACACTTACTTCCTAGTCACGGATCATATATAAACTACTACAGTTCTCTCTCATTTGTCTTTTCTGACTGTTAGGACATTTCCTTTCATTCTTAATAGTCTCCTTCATCTTACCTGAAAGAATTCCTTCTAAGTTGTAAAATGTTTTTTTTTGTTTCTTCATTATTGGGAGCAGTTCTTCACCTGAGTGTTTTATGACACAACTGACTTCATTTGTTGATGCCTCATCTTCACACACCTCAGATTCTTCAGAGGACTTGTCAGACTCATCAAATTTCTCTGTGGAATTTCCTGAAGAGTCACTCTCTTCAGGTACACTTAAGTGTACAGTTACTTCAAATATCGGTGCATAGATTTTTCTCAAATCTTCATCCACTTTAATACTATTTAAAATCTAATGAACAGACATGTTAGGGTGATGGTGACAATATGTAACTGAAAGAACGTTCCTTTTAACTTAGGATGATACAGACCTAACTTTTAAATGATCAATAATAACTTCAGTATAACAATAACATTATATTACCATGTAACTGACATTTCCATATTAAAATCAGTTAATGTAAAACATGACACATTATAATGCAGTAGCGCCCCCCAAAGACTGTAAATTAATGCCTTAATGTCAGAGTGACTACATATTAATCATTTGAGAGCTTATTAAAAATACAAATTCTTAGGCCCATCCCCAGAGATTGAGTTAAATGGTCAGGGGGAAGACCCAAGAATATTTGTTTTTAAATTTAAGTATAATTAACATACAATGTTATATTAGTTTCAGGTGTACAATACTTCGATTGAGCAATTTTATACCAAGAATTTGAATCATTTAAAAGCTGAGGAGAAAAAAAATTAAAAAAAAATAAAATAAAATCTGAGGAGAGGGACACCTGGATGGCTCAGCAGTTGAGCATCTGCCTTTGGCTCAGGGTGTGATCCTGGATTCCTGGGATAGAGTCCAACATCGGGCTTTCTGCATGGAGCCTGCTTCTCCCTCTGCCTGTGTCTCTGCCTCTCTCTCTCCATGTCTCTCATGAATATATAAATAAAATATTTTAAATAAATAAATAAAAGCTGAGGAGATTGTACTGTGTACTATAAGTTAAGAATTATGAATCAGGAATATACTTCAAATCCACTACTATATGTGCTAGTTCTTCACTTTAACGTACATATCCCAATACAGGTATCCATCCCTACTGGAAATAATTGGAGTATTTTATGTATGAATATCTTTCTTAGACAATATATTTGCTCTTAGGCTCTGTCTACACATGAGTTCTCCACTAACATATGGATCCCTAAGAGCCCCACATAAATCCACTGTTCTGGAGGAACCCAGTGTTTCTTAGAGTGGTAGTTTTAAGTTGCCTGCTAGAACCTTGACCATTCATTAACAAATAAAGGCAGTTAACAATATAAACAAACACCATGAACACCCTGTTAAGCTGCTGCGGAAAAAGCTGGAGTAGATGCTGAAGGTGATATGCAATCCTTAAACATTCCACACAAATAAATATGGAGATTCTGTGGGATGATGAAAAACTACAAAATGGATAGTGCCAATAATGCACCTCATTGTGAATGTACCAGTGCCACTGAATTTTACGTTAAAATGGTAAATTGTATGTTATGTATGTATGGTTTATCACACTAAAGTTCACAGACAATTCCAACAAATATATAATATGTTGTACAGCTTCTTCTGGAAAATAACCTTGAATTCTGGTACTGGCCCTCAACCCCTACATACCTTCCTATATTATAGTACATAAATATTTTGCAAAGAATTGTTCTTGAAATATGTATACTATAGTTACTATTTGATATAGTATACTTGGACTTTTTTTTAAAGGAAGTCGGTTATTTTTTAAAATATTTTATTTATTTATTCATGAGAGACACACACAGAGAGAGGCAGAGACACAAGCAGAGGGAGAAGCAGGCTCCATGTAGGGAGCCTGACGTGGGACTCTACCGGGCTGCCCAGTATACTTGGACTTAGACCAAATACTGAAGTATACTTGATACAGCATACTACACTATTTGATACTATTTGATTTCTATTTGATTAGTGTTTATCACATCCTAGGCACTATGGTAAATAAGCTACCTTTACCTCAACTTCAGAGTAACCCTGGGGTAGAAATTATTACTCTTATTATACATAAAAAGAAGCTGAGACTAGGGAAGCTTCTTTTAATTTGTCAAAGGCTATGTTACTAACATGTGGTAGGGCTGAACTTTGTTGTGGGTCTGTGATTCCATAGCTCACAGTTAAAATATGAAGTGGGGCTTGAAAATCTTTTGGTAATAATTTTTTTTTGCTATTTTGTGTGTGTGTGTGTGTGTGCCAAAAAGAATGGGTCAGCAAATAGTTTGATTTCCTCAGGATTGTATAAGAGAGAAATAGTTAATCTAAACTCTACAGTACACAATGGGAAATGAGCACCTCCCCCACTTTAGCCCTGCTCTCTAAGAGTCAAATCTAGATTCCCAAAATCCTAATGAAAATATTTTCATCTGGTTGCCCGGAGGGACCTCTAACTTAATACATCCCCAAATAAAATAATTATCTTGTGTTTTAAAGATTTTTTATTTATTTATTTGAGAGAGAGAGAGAGAGAGAGACCATGAGCTGGGGGAGGGGCAGAAGGAGAGGGACAAGCAGACTCTCCACTGAGCACAGAGTCTGATGCCAGTTGACCCCAGGACCCTGGGATCATGACCTAAGCTACAGGCAAATGTTTAACTGACTGAGCCACCCAGGCACCCTGCTTTCTATCTCTTCTTGGACTGGATGTTAGAATGAGCTCAAAAACTGAGGTGATATCCATGAGTTTATCAAAAATAGGAGAGAACCAAGGTCAGATACTAGAAGGCAAAGTATGAGTGAGATGCTACAGTTAGGGCTGTGGGTGGGGCAAGAGTAGAACCAGGGACAGACAGGATTTATGCCAGGATCACAAGGCTGTCTACAGCATTGTAATCATAATGTAATCATATGATTGCATTACATAAACAAACGTAATCATAAGCAAAGTAGAAAATCAAATTAAGAATTTCTAATACCAAAGGTTAATGGACAGAGATACAGTTAAGAGGTAATATTAACAAAGTCTAAAATTAACAAATCAATATCTAGAATACACAAGAAAGCCCCAAATCAGTAAGAAACCCAATAGAAAAAAATGTTCAAAGTATCAATATGCAATTCAAAGAAGAAAAATTAAAATAGTCAATAGAGATATGAAACCACATTGGTAAAGAGAAATAGAAACAGTGAGACATCACTGATTACATACTGATTCCCTGACTGGCAAGAATTAAAAAGTCATCAAATATGGAGAAATGCACTGGTAACAGGACTTTAACTTCTATTCTTGTTGGAGACCAAGAGAGTGGTGTTTAAATGAAGTGCCAATCCCATGACCCAGCAATCCATGCCCAAGTCTACACAACACAGAGAAACTTTCAACTAGTCCATAAGAAAACCTGTTCAGAGGCTATTTATCACAGTCTTAGAGGCGAGAGCTGAGTTGTCATACAAGCCACACTACAGGCTCAGCCAACCCCTAAGGAGCACAGGAGCTCAAACAGCCCTTCAGAAGTGTCCAGAATAGGATTGAGATGCCATGTCTTGTCACCCTTATAACAACTGTTCATTGCATGGGGGCCACCCCCAAAAAGGGGCATGACCTTGAACAAGGGGTCTGTACTTGAAGTCGTCTCTGAAAAAGACGACAGCTAAAGGCCGTCTGCTAACAGCACTTCCAGCAGCTGGGAAACATGCCCCACACTGTGGGCACTTAGTGGAACATTACTAAGTGATGTTAGTGGGACCTGGACCTAGACTACCACACATGTGACACAGGTCTTGAGTGAGGGAATGTACAGATGCAGGATAACAGTGACCCTATACAAACTTTAACATGTATATCCCAGTATTTAAAAAAAAAATTCACTGTGGACTATGGAGGGTGGATTAAAAAATGCACAGAAAAATTAATGCACCAAGATTTATGTTTTCATGATATAACAAATGGTTATAGTCTCTATATTATAGTTTTGTAATTCAGTAAGAAAAAAAGAAAACTCCATTAGAAAAATGGAAAGGAAAAAAAATAAAAAAAAATTTAAAAAAAAGAAAAATGGAAAGGATATCAAAAAGTCATAAAAATGAGACATATAAATAGCTAATGAGCATAAGGAAAGCATCCAGTATTCTGAGCAATAAGCAAAAATTAAGACCAGTTAATCCAAAATTTGTTATTAATAAGCATCAGCCAGTATATAATTGGGTACATTTAGAAGGCAGTCTTTAATAGAAATTAGTATAATGTTGTCTAAAGAGAAATTCTGCAATGGAAATGGAAGGCCATAAAAGGTCCATAGTGCTGATTTAATGTTAATTCTAAGGAAAAAATTAAAGCAATGCAAATATTTTTATTTAAAAAATATTTCTATTCTGAAGTGTTCATAAAGAACTAGTAGAAGCTACTAAAATAACAATGCTGTTAAAGTACAGGCAGGGGCTATAAAGCACATAGGTTAAATCCACAAAAAAATACACAACATTTTTATGGAAAAAATTATAAAAGACATTGAAAGAAATTAAAGAAGACTCAAATAAATTACACAATCATGTAGGGAGACTCAATGTCATAAAATATTACCTCTCCCCATCTTCTAGGCAATTTTAATCAAAATCCAAATAGGGTCTGATTCTAAAACATATATGGAAGTGCAAACAGCTGAGAATAGACAAGACACTCTTAGAAAAGGAGACTTATTTCAAAGCTATCCCATTAATCTGGTGTGGGATTGGCACAGTAACTGGCAGATAGATCAACAACAGAGTAACAGTTTAGAAACAGAAGACATACGTGTATGGACACATATGATAAATGAAGAAACAGCTGCCAGGAAGATCAACAGGGAAAGGATGTAAAGAAACCGTGCCTGAGTAACTCAGTCACTCAGATAGAAAAAAATGAAAATGAATCCTAACACACACTACACACAGATAAATTAGAGACATGAAAGATGGATTTTAAAACTTTCATAAGAAAATAAAGGAGAACATATTTATGACTTAGGAAGGTAAATAATTCCAAACATGAATACAACTAAGAGGACTTACATTGAAATGAAGAATTACTAATAATAGGGACACCTGGGTGGCTCAGTTTGTTGAGCCTCTGACTCTTGATTTTGGCCCAGATTGTGATCTTCAGGTCATGAGATAGAGCCCCATGTTGGCTTCACACTCAGTAGGGAGCCTGCTTCATTTTCTCTCTTTCTCCCTCCCTCTCTCCCTCTCTCTCTCTCCTTCTGCCTATACTCCCACACTCACTCTCTCTCTCAAATAAGTAAATCTTGAAAAGAAGGAATTACTAATAATAAAAATACATCATAAGGGAATAAAAGTAACAAACCATCTAGTAGGAAAAGATAACTGCCATACAGACATTGAGAATTCCTACAAAATAATAAGAAAAATCAATCCAGGAGATTAATGGGCAAAAATCTCCTAAAACATATTTCTTAAAATACCGTAATAATGGGATGCCTGGGTGGCTCAGTGGTTGAATGTCTGCCTTTGGCTCAGGGTGTGACCCCAGAGTCCTGGGATTGAGTCCCATATCGGGCTCCTTGAATGGAGCCTGCCTCTCTCTTTCTGTGTCTCTCATGAATAAATAAATAAATAAAATCTTTTTTTAAAGTACACTAATAATAAAAGAAAAACAAAATAAAAATGTAGACATTTTCCCTTGTTACCAAATCTACCTAAAATATTTTTTAAAAGGAAAAATGTGTAAAGTATACATATTATATAGTACTATCTCATAAAAAATGCTGCTTTTGCTGAACAGGACAAGCATCTACCATCTAAAGTTTAATCCTAATAAAATATTGTGGGGATTGGGGTACAATTCTTCATGGCAAGGAAAGATTTCCTAATGAAAGTTTTTAGGATTCTGTCAGGATTTTTCCTATTTGTCTTGTGTCATTCTTTAGTTAATAACAAGGGGAAAAGAAGTACTTTGAAGAACAGCAAAAAGTAAGGGGTATAGAGGAGTCGGGGTAGGATGGGGTGGCTGCTACTGCAGATAAGTGGTCTTTCCTGATTACTCCCATGTAAAGTAGCACACAGCATCACTCTTCATTCCCTTATCTTCCTTTGTGTTTCTTCATAGCACTCATCACTTCAATATCTGTCTCTCTCTGAAAAATATAAACTCCAAGAGGTCAGGGAATTGTTCTGCCCACTGCTCTATTTTGGTGCCTAGCTCAGTGACTGTTAATAAGTACTCAATGCATGAACAAATGAGCCAAATGAGATAAGTGTAATTATAGCTTTCTACAATGGAAGGGGTATCTGTGTGTGCACAAGAAATTTTGAATAATCATAAATCATATTTTTAATTTAAAGACTTATTCATATTACATTTAAAAAACTATGCTTATATTTTTCAAAGACCATTTTACCTCATTAACATCTGCTTCCGTTTTTACTTCTGACTTTAAAACAGAAGTGGCATGTAAGTTTGAATTATCAACAAATCCTTCACAATCATTTGTTATCTTTCCAGTGAAAGCAAAGATGTCCTTGTATATTCTAGATTAAGAAAGAAGAAACATAATCTTTCTAAACTGTTATATCTTACTAATATCCAGAACACAAAATAGACATTCCTCCAAAGAAGATATATACAGATGGCCAGTCAGTATAATAAAAGATGGTCAGCATCACTAATCATCAGGGGAATACAAATCAAGGTCACAGTGAAATATAACTTCACACCATTTAGGATAGCTACTATATTCTAAAAGATATCAACAGTAAGTGTTGGTGAGGATTAGACCCTTGCGGCTTGCTGGTGGGAATAATACTAGTACAGTTACTGTGGAAAATAGCAGGGAAATTCCTCAAAGACTTACATGTAGAATTACCATATAACCTAGCAGCTCCACTTGAGAGCCTCAGACAGAAATTTACATACCACTGCTCATAACAAGATCATTCACAAGAGTCAACAGGTGAAACGATCCAAATGTCCAACAACAGATGAATGGACTAATAAAACATGATATATACACACATGGATTATTATCTAGCCTTGAAATGGAAAGAAATTCTCATACATTTTACAATATGAATGAACCCTGAAAACACGCTAAGCAAAATAAGTCAGGCAAAAATTTCAAATATGTATGAAAACTTCACTAAGTGAGGTTATCTAGAATAGGCAAATTCATAGAGAATTTGTATTAGAGGTCATGAGAGCTTGGTGGGAGGAAGGGGGCCACGCATGGGGAATGAGGAATTACTGTTTATTGGACACAGAGTTTCAGTTTGGGGTGATGAAGACGTTCTGGAAATGGATATGGTGATGGTTGCACAATATTATGAATGCACTTAGTGATACTGAATTGTTACTTGTATTTTACTACAATAAAAAATATCATATCTCATTTCAGCAGGATGGAAAAGACGCTCAACCACTGAGCCACCCAGGTGCCCCAAAATGAAGGATTTTTATAAAAAAAAATAAAGATTTACAAATATATGCTAAATAGGGAAATAAAATTTAAATCACAATAATGAGGGAGATCAAGAATTCTTAAACACACTGAAAAGCACAAGAAAACTGAAACAAGGAGTTAGAGGAAAGCATTGGGAATTAAGAGCCATTTGAATCAACAAAGAAGAGAAAATTGAGAAAGGGAAAGAGAAAAAATGACAAAATAAGCATAAATAAAATAGGAGTAAGAAAAGCATACCACTTATTACTAAATGATTACATTGAACCTATTCAATGTCCTAATCAAAAGACAGAAAATATCAGACTGAGTTAAAAAGCAGTATAAAACTATAATAAGATATGACCAACATCTCAATTTAAGGACGAAAAGGTAAAAAAATAAATAAATAGACCTATTTGGAATTTCTGGCAGCAGGAATGGCACAGAATATTTAAAAAATATCTACCTCCTCTTATAAAAATCAGAGAAATAGACAATCTGAATAGGACCACATCTATTAAAGAAACTGAACAATTCATAAGCTTTCAAAATAGAAAGCCCTAGGCCCAGATAGGTTTTCTTGTGACTTCTGTCAAATATTTAAGGAAGAAATTATATCAATTCATTCTATGAGCCCACTATTTTCCTGGAACCAAAACCAAATGAAGACATGACAAGAAAACTACAGAACAACATGCTTTATAAACAGAGACACAGAAATCCTCAACAAAATACGAGAAAATTCAATGGAGCTATATATACAAAGGATTATATACCATAATCAAGTAGAATTTATCCGAAGAATGCAAGGTTGGCTCAACATACAAAAATGTACGTTATGTAACTTAATGTACACTTTAGTAGCATAAAGTAAAAAACATGGTCATTTCAACTGACATAGGAAAATAGCATTTAACAAAATCCAACGTTTCATGTAAAAACATTGAATAAACAGTAAAAGGAAACTTCCTCAACCTGATAAAAGAATCTGCAAAAAACCCACAGCTAACATCATACTTAATGAAAAAAGATTAAAATTTCCCAAGAGCAGGAATGTTCACTCTTGCCACTTCTATTAACAAGATACTAAAGATTCTAGCTAGGGCAATTAAGGCAACAAAAAGTAATAAAAGATGTATGACTGGACAAAAAAGAAGTAAAATTATCTCTATTTGCAGGTGTCATGATCCTGCATAGAAAATCCTAAGGAGAGGGGAGGGGCAAGATGGCGGAAGAGTAGGGTCCCCAAGTCACCTGTCCCCACCAAATTACCTAGATAACCTTCAAATCATCCTGAAAATCTACGAATTCGGCCTGAGATTTAAAGAGAGAACAGCTGGAATGCTACAGTGAGAGGAGTTCGCGCTTCTATCAAGGTAGGAAGACGGGGAAAAAGAAATAAAGACACAAAAGGCCTCCAAGGGGGAGGGGCCCCGCGAGGAGCCAGGCTGAGGCTGGGGCGAGTGTCCCCAGGACAGGAGAGCCCCGTCCCGGAGAAGCAGGAGCTGCACCAACCTTCCCGGGCGGAAAGGGGCTCGCAGGGAGTTAGAGCAGGACCCCAGGAGGGCAGGGATGCCCTCAGGCTCCCTGGGACAGTAACAGACACCTGGGCCCCGGGGAGAGTGCGCCGAGCTCCCTAAGGGCTGCAGGGCGCATGGCGGGACCCGGAGCAGCCCGGAGAGGCTCGGGCGGCGGCTCTGCAGAGAGGCGGCTCCGGCAGAGGAAGAGGCTCCGTGAGGAGGGGGCTGCGCGGCTCCGGGACCAGCTCAGAGGGGCTCGGGCGGCGGCTCCGCGGAGGGGGCTGCGCGGCCGGGAGCGCGAATCCAACAGCGCAGGCGCCGGAGCACAGGGCGCCGGGACACAGCCCAGGATCCGGCCTCCCCCGGGACAGGCAGAGGCCCGGAGGGCCCAGGACAGCAAGGACGCTCCTGCCCCGAGCTGAGCAGATCAGCGGCCCCGCCCCGGGAGCATCCAGGGGCTGCAGACGGAGAGCTCTGTGGTTACTGCAGGAGCTGACTCCAGGGCTCCAGAGCTGGCCGCTGCCACTGGGGTTGTTCCTCCTAGGGCCTCACGGGGTAAACAACCCCCGCTGAGCCCTGCACCAGGCAGGGGGCAGACCAGCTCCCCCAAGTGCTAACACCTGAAAATCGGCACAACAGGCCCCTCCCCCAGAAGACCAGCTAGACGGACCAGTTCCAGGGAAGTCAAGGGACTTAAAGTATACAGAATCAGAAGATACTCCCCCATGTTTTTTTTGTTTGTTTGTTTCTTTTTGATTTGTTTGCTTCCCCACCCTTTTTTCCTTTCTTTCTCGTTTTCTTCTCTTTTTTTCTTTTTTTCCTCTTTTTCTTTTTTCTTTTTCTCTTTTCTTTCCTTCTTTCTCTCCTCTCTTTTTCTCCTGGTCAACCAGGAAATTAAGGAAGAATTAAAAAGATTCATGGAAACTAATGAGAATGAAGATACAACCATTCAAAAGCTTTGGGATGCAGCAAAAGCAGTCCTAAGTGGGAAATGCATCACAATACAAGCATCCATTCAAAAACTGGAAAGAACTCAAATACAAAAGCTAACCTTACACATAAAGGAGCTAGCGAAACAACAGCAGATAGATCCTATACCCAGCAGAAGAAGAGAGTTAATAAAGATTCGAGCAGAACTCAACGAAATCAAGACCAGAAGAACTGTGGAACAGATCAATAGAACCAGGAGTTGGTTCTTTGAAAGAATTAATAAGATAGATAAACCATTAGCCAGCCTTATTAAAAAGAAGAGAGAGACTTAATTAATAAAACCATGAATGAGAAAGGAGAGATCACTACCAACACCAAGGAAATACAAACGATTTTAAAAACATATTATGAACAGCTCTACGCCAATAAATTAGGCAATCTAGAAGAAATGGACGCATTCCTGGAAAGCCACAAACTACCAAAACTGGAACAGGAAGAAATAGAAAACCTGAACAGGCCAATAACCAGGGAGGAAATTGAAGAAGTCATCAAAAACCTCCCAAGACACAAGAGTCCAGGGCCAGATGGCTTCCCAGGGGAATTCTATCAAACGTTTAAAGAAGAAACCATACCTATTCTACTAAAGCTGTTTGGAAAGATAGAAAGAGATGGAGTACTTCCAAATTCGTTCTATGAGGCCAGCATCACCTTAATTCCAAAACCAGACAAAGACCCCATCAAAAAAGAGAAATACAGACCAATATCCCTGATGAACATGGATGCAAAAATTCTCAACAAGATACTAGCCAATAGGATCCAACAACACATTAAGAAAATTATTCACCATGACCAAGTAGGATTTATCCCCGGACACAAGGCTGGTTCAACACTCGTAAAACAATCAATGTGATTCATCATGTCAGCAAGAGAAAAACCAAGAACCATATGATCCTCTCATTAGATGCAGAGAAAGCATTTGACAAAATACAGCATCCATTCCTGATCAAAACTCTTCAGAGTGTAGGGATAGAGGGAACTTTCCTCGACATCTTAAAAGCCATCTACGAAAAGCCCACAGTAAATATCATTCTCAATGGGGAAGCACTGGGAGCCTTTCCCCTAAGATCAGGAACAAGACAGGGATGTCCACTTTCACCACTGCTATTCAACATAGTACTGGAAGTCCTAGCCTCAGCAATCAGACAACAAAAAGACATTAAAGGCATTCAAATTGGCAAAGAAGAAGTCAAACTCTCCCTCTTCGCTGATGACATGATACTCTACATAGAAAACCCAAAAGCCTCCACCCCAAGATTGCTAGAACTCATACAGCAATTTGGTAGCGTGGCAGGATACAAAATCAATGCCCAGAAATCAATGGCATTTCTATACACTAACAATGACACTGAAGAAAGAGAAATTAAGGAGTCAATCCCATTTACAATTGCACCCAAAAGCATAAGATACCTAGGAATAAACCTAACCAAAGAGGTAAAGGATCTATACCCTAAAAACTATAGAACACTTCTGAAAGAAATTGAGGAAGACACAAAGAGATGGAAAAATATTCCATGCTCATGGATTGGCAGAATTAATATTGTGAAAATGTCAATGTTACCCAGGGCAATTTACACGTTTAATGCAATCCCTATCAAAATACCATGGACTTTCTTCAGAGAGTTAGAACAAATTATTTTAAGATTTGTGTGGAATCAGAAAAGACCCCGAATAGCCAGGGGAATTTTAAAAAAGAAAACCATAGCTGGGGGCATCATAATGCCAGATTTCAGGTTGTACTAAAAAGCTGTGGTCATCAAGACAGTGTGGTACCGGCACAAAAACAGACACATACTCTCTCACACACTCTCTTACACCATACACAAAGATAAACTCAAAATGGATGAAAGATCTAAATGTGAGACAAGATTCCATCAAAATCCTAGAGGAGAACACAGGCAACACCCTTTTTGAACTTGGCCACAGTAACTTCTTGCAAGAAACATCCACGAAAGCAAAAGAAACAAAAGCAAAAATGAACTATTGGGACTTCATCAAGATAAGAAGCTTTTGCACAGCAAAGGATACAGTCAACAAAACTAAAAGACAACCTACAAAATGGGAGAAGATATTTGCAAATGATGTATCAGATAAAGAGCTAGTTTCCAAGATCTATAAAGAACTTATTAAACTCAACAGCAAAGAAACAAACAATCCAATCATGAAATGGGCAAAAGACATGAAGAGAAATCTCACAGAGGAAGACATAGACATGGCCAACAAGCACATGAGAAAATGCTCTGCATCACTTGCCATCAGGGAAATACAAATCAAAACCACAATGAGATACCACCTCACACCAGTGAGAATGGGGAAAATTAACAAGGCAGGAAACCACAAATGTTGGAGAGGATGTGGAGAAAAGGGAACCCTCTTACACTGTTGGTGGGAATGTGAACTGGTGCAGCCACTCTGGAAAACTGTGTGGAGGTTCCTCAAAGAGTTAAAAATATACCTGCCCTACGACCCAGCAATTGCACTGTTGGGGATTTACCCCAAAGATACAGATGCAATGAAACGCTGGGACACCTGCACCCCGATGTTTCTAGCAGCCATGTCCACAATAGCCAAACTGTGGAAGGAGCCTCGGTGTCCATCGAAAGATGAATGGATAAAGAAGATGTGGTTTATGTATACAATGGAATATTACTCAGCCATTAGAAACGACAAATACCCACCATTTGCTTCAACGTGGATGGAACTGGAGGGTATTATGCTGAGTGAAGTAAGTCAACTGGAGAAGGACAAACATTATATGTTCTCATTCATTTGGGGAATATAAATAATAGTGAAAGGGAATATAAGGGAAGGGAGAAGAAATGTATGGGAAATATCAGAAAGGGAGACAGAACATAAAGTATCCTAACTCTGGGAAATGAACTAGGGGTGGTGGAAGGGGAGGAGGGCGGTGGGTTGGGGTGAATGTGTGACGGGCACTGAGGGGGGCACTTGACGGGATGAGCACTGGGTGTTATTCTGTATGTTGGTAAACTGCACACCAATAAAAAATTTATTAAAAAAGAAAGAAAATCCTAAGGAGGAATAACAAATCAACAAACATAGAACTAATAAACAAATTGAGCAAAGATGCTGGATACAAGATCAATATATAAAATTCAGCTCTATTTCAATACACAAGCAATTAATAATCCAAAATAAAATTTAAAAAATAATTCAATTTACAGTAATATCAAATAGAATAAAATACTTCAGAATAAATAAAGGAAGCATGACACATACACTGAAAAACAAAAGACCACTGAAAAAATAGACTATATAAATGGAAAGATAAACCCATGTTCATGGATTGGAAAACTTTATAGTATTAAAATGAAAGTTTCCATATTTACCACAGATTCAATGCAATCCCTATATAAATTCCAGCTGTTTTTTTCCTGCATAAATTGGGAATCTTATTCTACAATTCATATGTAAATGAAAGAGAGCCAAAAGTGCCCAAACCATGTTGAAAATGAACAATGCTGGAAGATTCACACTTCCCAATTTCAAAGCTTACTACAAAGCTGCAGTAATGAAGACAGTATGGTTCTGGCAGGAGGACAGACCTATAGATCAACTAATGAAATTTAGATTCCAGACATAAACCCATCAACTCACTGTCAACAAGAGTTCCGAGACAAGTCAATGCAGAAAGAACAGTCTTTTCAACAAGTAGTGCTGGGACAAGTGGACACCCATGTGGGAAAGAATTAACTTAGACTTTTATCTCACACTGTATACATACAAAATACCTTTAATGGAAGTAGATCAAAGATCTAAATGCAGAAGCTAAAACTGAAAATCTTACAAGAAAAAATAGAACCTTCATGACCTTGCAATGGGCAGGGATTTCTTAGATATGACACTTAAAATACAATTGAAGAAGAACTGGCTTTCTTCAAAAAAAGATTTTATCTTTTATTTATTTAGGAGAGACACAGAGAGGCAGAGACATAGGCAGAGGGAGAAGCAGGCTCCCTGCAGGGAGCCTGATGCAGGACTCCATGCCAGGACCCCAGGATTACTCCCTGAGCTGAAGGCAGACCTCAACTACTGAGCCACCCAGGTGCCCCCGAAATTGGCCTTTTTCAAAATTAAATACTTTCATTCTCCAAAGGTTAGTATCAAGAAAGTGAAAAGATGACCCACAGAATGGGAGAAAACTTTTGCAAATTATCTATTATTTGGAATTAATAAGGGTCTTGTACCCAAAATATATTTAAAGACTCTTTATAACATAATAAAAAGACAACAGAACTTAAAAATGGACAAAGGACTTGAAAAGACGTTTCTTCAGAGAAGATATACAAGTAGCCACTAATCATATGAAAGGATACACCATATCATTAGTTATTATGGAAATACAAACCAATACTGTTAAGAAGGTCGATAGAAACAGATTCAATAATGGTAGCTCCTACTTGGCAGACATTTACTTTGTGTTTATTCTCAAACAACACTATGATATAGGTATTACTGGTATCTCCAGTCTATAGATAGGAAACAGGTCTAAAGCATTTCCTAATGTCTGTTAGCATACTAGCTAACCAAAGTCACACAGCTTTTCAGAGATGAAACAGAGATTAAAACCCAGGTGGTATGACTCCAAAACTCCAAAAACCATGTACTTGAACTACTATACAAGTATTCCTCCTATAACATTAAAAAACATATATATAAGACATGTTGTATTTTTAAAATAAACTACAAAATAGCACACTAGGATTACAACAACAAAATTACATAAGAAAAGTCTACGAGAAATATCAAAAATAATAAGACATTGAATTTAAGTTATTGAATGAGGGTAATTTCTGTTTTCCAAATTTTCTTTTTTTTTTCAAATTTTCTATTACATGATGAATTAACTCTAATAATAAAAATCATTTAAGAAATTTTGTTCAAAATTTAAAAGTTCTCTTAAACACACAAACATACACATATACACACTCCTGTAGTTTTAGGGAAAATAAAATTATATTGTGCTATTACTAAACAGTTGTGCTTATACAGGTTAAAGTCCTGGCACTGATTCAAATCGCTTATGAGGGGGATCCCTGGGTGGCTCAGTGGATTAGCGTCTGCCTTTGGCCCAGGTCCTTCTCCTGGAGACATGGGATCGAGTCCCACATTGGGCTCCCTACATGGAGCCTGCTTCTCCCTCTGCCTGTGTCTCTGCCTCTCTCTCTCTCTCTCTCTGTGTCTCTCATGAATAAATAAAATAGTTTACAAATAATAACAAATATTTATAAAAACAAAAAAACCCAAATCGCTTATGAAGCCTTAGAAAAGTGATTTAAGCTCTGTTGGATTCAATAACAAATTAGAGAAATAATATATTATCTTTAAGAGTCTTCAAAATGTTATGAATTGATATATTTTTTTGTTCTCTAGTTTTGATATTAAAACTCTGATTTGACTTAAAATGATATTGCTAAATTCTGAGTTTGAACATATTTTACAAATGTCAATTCATATTCCATGGTTCACAAATTACAGTGATAGATCCAGTTGTGCAAAATAATAAAAAGGTTTTAACAATAGTCTTTAAATAGGTAAAAATATTTTGTTTTCAATAAGTAGTTGGAATTGACTCAAATTCCAACTGAACTTTGTGGCTACTTTCAGAATCATTCTCACAAATGACTTTTTAAGAACTAGTTCTGAACTTTGAAGATACAGCATACCTATGCATACAATTGCCAGATTTAGCAAATTAGTACAGAACATCAAATTAAATTTGAATTCCAAGATGATAATTTTTAGTATAGGTAATATTTGGACATACTTACACTAAGATATTATTATCTGAATTTCAAATTTCACTTCAAGTACATGCGTTATGTACTTCACATAGCAACCTAACCTAGGTAGAATTTTGGGGGGGCAGGGGGAGGAAATTTTCTTAAATTTTATGCACAGTATGAAGGAAAGTATTACCAGATAAGAAGTTCAGGTAATTGCAAAAGCTGAGTACATATAATGTGCTACAAATTCTAGTTTAAATTATTGGCTATTTCCTCTATAAGTGGAAATATATTTCATTATGATAATATCCCTTTTATAAAAGTCAAAAAGGAGGGATTTACTTAATGAGATCTTCATTCCTTTTTTCCATTGAAAATGGCATTCTAGCAGAATTATTAAATAATTCAAAAAGTAGTGTGATTGCAGTGTTCATTAGTTGACGGATGAGTTCTTGAAATATGTAGTCAACCAACATCAGAAACTTCAAAATTGTTTCTAATAAACGTCGATATTTAGGCAGCTTGAAATGTGTTGTGTCATCTTCAGAGAAGTTTGACTCAAAATATTCTTTAATTTCTTTCTTTTCTGCCACCTACAATTCAATGAACAATTGAAAAACCAGTGATAATTTCCTATGTTGATATAATATAGCATGACTTCTAATGTATAGCATTTTCATTAGTCTGAATAACACTGCAACTAAACATTATGATGATCATTTTCATTAAAACCTTATGCTTGTGCTGTATCTAAACGGCAGACAAAATAAAAAGCCTATGAAGTTTGGGGTTTCAATTATAAGGATATGAGTTTATGGGACTCAAATAGAAAGTACATACTAATGATTATCTAAGCATTCCTACATAGAGGGACCCTCCTCAAGTACACCCACCACTGGCGGGAAGAGTCAAATGGAAATAAAAGATTTCCTAAAATTCAGTCTAATACTGCCTCCCTTATGCTAGGCTACAGCAATTAGACGCCTTTTGTGTTTTTAACACATATATGGTACATAACACAGAATTAAGAAAAAAATTAAGTTAATCAAATCCAATATTACAATTTTATCCTTTAAACAATGTATCTCTTAAGATAAATGACTTAGTACGTTGCTGAGGGAATGGCATGTTTTGATAAATAATGTAGGGTGGCATCAGTAGTACTAGTACCACCCAAATTTCCAAATTGAGCTCTCCAAAATAATCCCAAAGTTGGTCAAAATGGTTCCTTTTGACACATAATACTTTTTTTTTATTAGTGATGGGCCTTTAAAATTCTAAAAATATTTCCAATATTTGTTCACCTATTGGTTGTTCATTCTTTTTATTTTTTTCCTCATTGATATTTAAATTCTTTCCAAACTATATTCTAATAATTGCATTCATTTATGCTGCCTCTCTTTATTTTTCTTTTTTGTTTGTATTTTCTTTCTTTTTTAAATCAATTAGGTCAGTTGATTATCAATTTGGCATGTTTCTTCCAGTACTGGTTGACTCTCTGGAGGAATGGTTTACCACCGTGATGTAGTTCTTTACTATTACAACAAAGGCTTGTAGAAATTGGACTAAAGAAAGACAAGATAATTTCTATACCAGTTATGGGCATAGCTACATGGGCCTAACAGAGGAAATGCTGACTTTATTAATAGGTTATGTTTTTATTGAAAAAAATGTTTTTCCAGGAATGGCCACATGATTTGAAGTTTTATATGCAAAATGCATTTTAATCAGTAAAATGGTGAGGCACAGTCTATTAAATATTCAAAATAAAGATTTTTAGCATTGGTACTAAAAGAGTTTTAAATAGCTTAATAACTGTATTAATACAAAAGTATACAGTAGTAGTAAGCCTGGTAATACTGACCTTTTTATTGAATATTCTGAGGCTAATGGATATTCTGACACCAATAGGCAGATAGGTGGATACTCTCTTACCATCACAGACTATATTTTGAGTCAAGTCTGACTCTAGGTTCATATCACTCACTGATAGTGGCTCCTGGTTTCCATTTCCTCAGTTCTATGCCCATGCTATATTTCTGCGGAGCTGAGCAATCCCCAAAATTACGCAGAATGCTTTTCAACCTAGCTGTACTTTAGATTCACTTGAGATTTTCTACTGCTGCCTGAGGCTCTATCATCAGGAATTCTGATTTAATTGGCCTACGGTGGTCCCAATTTATCAATATTGATATTGATAAATATCAATATTTGAGTGCCCCCCCCCACACACACACCAGATGATTCTAGTCTGCAGCCTATTTGAGAACCACTAGTCTAGAGTTTGGCTACTGAGTAGTCACACATTTCAGTTTTAAAAATTCACCCAAATGGTGGTGTAGGAAACCCCAGCCTTTGCTCCCAACAAAGATCAGCAAGTAAGACAGGTATCCATGACCAAAAACAGCTCTGGGAGAGCTCCGGAGTCCACTTAAGAAACTTCAGCAACACAGTGAAACAAAACACCTGAGAATAACCACACAAAACGAAAAGGAAGACAGCTTCAATTTGCCCACATCATCCCAGCCCGAGCTGGCACTGCTCAGTGCCAAGAGGAAACTTTCTAGCTAGATAAAGTTCCCCTCACTGGGAAAGGAAGAGCAGAATAACCACTGGCTCCCCCAAACTTTGGGGCACTGAACAAAGGTCCCACTTTGGTTTCACCCTGCCCATGCCAGCAAAGCTGGGATGGACAGAGATGGCTAGAACAAGGAAGAAAACATGGACTGCCAATAGCAGCCATGCAGTAGGAATGATCCCCATTCAGAGTGACCAGCTCAATCCACAAACACAGCTTTTGCACCTGAAGAAGGAATCAGGAGCCAACATAGCTGCCACAGACTTCCAGCAGATTTCATCAGCTTTTGGCACATAGGTATTTGTATTCACTGATGCCAGCTTCCTAAGTCCCTCTCCAGCCATGCCCCTCTCTGGCTCCTGCCAAGCCTGGGAACCACATTGTCAGCCAGCCCAGGTTTCTGTGGGTACATGAGCACAAGACACCAGTCTAAACCCCCATGACTGACCCCCACCATGTACGTGCTCAGGGCTATTTCTCCAGATGTGCATTTGCAAGCTGTTGGCCTGATACCTGTTACGGACCCCTGAATACCACGCACCCATGGTGTGATCCAACAGCCACACTAATACATGCTGACAGTCAGGTGCCATCAGTTACCAGTGCACCCACAGTGTGTCTTCAACCAGCCCCTGCCACTATACAAAAACAGATGACCCCAACAGCCAACTATGTACATGCAAGTAGTTCCTGCCTTGGTCCCTAGCCATAGGACCTGGAGCCACTACTGAAAATCCTTATAGCCACTGGGGGCCTCCATCGTATTTGCCAAGGACCACAAAGCTGTCAATGCTGTGGTCCTCAGAGGCCTGAGCAAAGAGACAGCATGACACCTTGCACCACTACCCCAAGATCACAAGATGCTCCAGCATGACCCGCATGCAGATGAAATATTTCCCTTATCAAAGTCAGTTCATAGTGTCTAGAAGAGGTAATTCTTCCTTCAAATGCTCAGACATCTTTGCAAGGCTACAGGAATCATGAAAATGAGGAAAACATGACCACCAAAGTAAAACTCTGTCAATGACCCCAAAGAAATGGATACCCAGTAATTCCCAACAAAGAATTCAAATTAATTGTTCTAAAGATGCTCAGAAACAAAAACAGACATGAAGATCAATGGAACAGAATAGAGGGCCCAGAAATAAACCCAATTATATGTTCAATTAATGTTCAACGAAGGAAGAAAGAATATTCAATGGGAAAAAGACAGTCTCTTCAACAAATGGTGTTGGGAAAACAGGATAGCAACATGCAGAAGAATGAAACTGGACCACTTTCTTATACTACATACAAAAATAGATTAAAATGGACAAAAGACCTAAATGTGAGACAGGAATCCATCAAAATCCTAGAGGAGAACATAGGCAGCAACCTCACTGACCTCGGTGACAGCAATGTTGTGGAGATACATACATTTCCAGAGGCAAGGGAAACAAAAGCAAAAATGAACTAGTGGGACTTCATCAAGTTAAAAGGTTCTGTACAGCAAAGGAAATAAACAAAACCAAAAGGCAACCTATGGAATGGGAGAAGATGTTTGCAAATTACATATCTGAAAAAGGGTTAGTATCCAAGATCTATAAAGAACTTATTAGCTCAACACCCAAAAACCAAAAAATCCAGTTAAGAAATGGTCAGAAGACATAAACAGACATTTCTCCAAAGAAGATATACAGATGGCCAACAGACACACAAAAAGATGCTCAACATCATTTGTCATTAGGAAAATACAAATCAAAACCACAATGAGATACCACTTCATACCCATCAGAATAGCTAAAATTAACAACTGAGGATACAATAGATATTGGGAAGGATGTGGAGAAAGGGGAACCCTCTTACACTGTTGATAGCAATGCAAAATGATGCAGCCACTGTGGAAAATAGTATAGAGGTTCCTTAAAATAAAGCCACCCTGTGACCCAGCAAAGGATACAAAAACACTGATTCAAAGGAGCACATGCACCCCAATGTTTAGCACAGCTTTATCAACAATAGCCAAATTATGGAAAAAGCCCAAATATCCACCAAATGATGACTGGATAAAGAAGATGTGGTATATATACGCAATGGAATATTAGCCATCAAAAAGAATGAAATCTTGCCATTTGCAACAACATGGATGGAGCTATAGTGTATTATACTAAGCAAAGCCAGTCAGGGAAAGACAAATACCGTAATTTCACTCATATGTGGAATTTAAGAAATAACAGAAGAACATTGGAGAAGGAGAAAAAAGAGAAGGAGGCAAGTCATAAACTACAGAGAACAAACTGAGGGTTGATGGAGGAAAATGTGTAGGGGGGATGGGCTAAACAGGTGATAGGTGTTAAGGAGGGCACTTGTTATGATGAGCACTGGCTGTTGTATATAAGTGATGAATCATAAAATTCTACTCCTGAAACTAATATTACACTGTATGAATTTAAACAAAAAACAGAATTTAAACAAAAACTTTAAAAAAGGATGCTCAAAGATCTGTAAGAAGAGAACACAGATATACAATTTAATGATACCAGGAAAACAATACAAGCAAAATGAGATGCTCAAAAAGAGACAGAAAATGTAAAAAAGAAACAAGTTTTAAAAATATAATAACTGAATGAGGAATTCAACAGAGCTTCAACAACAGACTTCACAAAACACATAAGAAAAAAGTAAACTGCAAAACGGATGAATTGATATTACACAATCAGAGAAAAAAGAGTGAAAAAAGAGTGAAGAAAACTTACATAATCTAGAGAATACCAAAGAAAGAACCAATTTTCAAATTATTGAAGGTCCAAGAAGGAAAAGAGAGGGAAAAAGGTCAGAAAGTTTATTTAAAGAAAATGACTAAGAACATTCCAAATCTGGGGAGAGATTTCTACATGCAAGTTCATGAAACTCACAAGTCACTAAACAAAATCAAAGAGATCCTCTCCAGGACACATAATAAAACTCTCAAAAATCAAAGACAAGGACAGAATCTTAGCAGCAAGAGAGGGGAAAGAAAAAAAAAAGCTTGTAACT